GGGGGGGGGGGGGGGGGGGGGGGGGGGGGGGGGGGGGGGGGGGGGGGGGGGGGGGGCAGTGCTGTGTCGAGTACGCGGGCTACTTTGATGGAGTAGAGCAAAAGCAGTGAACGCGGAGAAGCATATTTGTGATGAAAATATCACATGTCCCCCCCTGAACATCGTGCGTTCACTCGATGACGCCGGCCGTCCAGCGACCCCCTTTCATACACCCTCCACTGCTAACTTGAGGGGCAGCGACTACACTGGTCTCGGTGGCTTCGGCAGCCGACAATGCTCGCTCGACAAGGTACTGCCCGCGTGTCAAAAGTTGAGTCGCGAGCCTGGGTTCCACAGGGGTGGGGTAGTTTCTAGAACCCAAACCCCATCCTACTCCTTCCGCGGAGCAGACATGCAGTTCTCAAAGGCCAAAGCTAATCATGCTGTTGAATTACGCACGAACAACGGATATGAATCTCTGGAAATGGCTCAACGAGGTCAACCCAAAAATCACCCTTGTTTGAGTTTACACGTGAATATATGGGTATGAATCTCCCGCGGATTGACCAAGGTCAGGCGGGTTTCATACAAACTGCTCCTGCTTCTGCTCCTGCTGTTGGTGCTGTACAGTACCTGTAGGCGGCGGTGTAGTCTCGAGCGGAGCTAATCTGGCGGTACTGCCTGAAGGCCGACCCGAAGTCCGCCAGCCGCACCTCGGGCACGCAGTCATCACCGCCCACGGCTTCAGGAAAGCAAACAAATACAAACACACGTTGCAAAGAGAACGAGAGACAAAACCATGTTAGTGCTGTCATGAGCGCTTGCGGAAATCGAGGCGCTTGCTTCTCTCAGTGTTGCTTGGGTCGACCCATACTTGTGAGGAGCAACTTGTTACCTTCCTCAAGTGTTGGGGTACAGCAGTTAGCTTGTAACCAAGGAAGGCGTCCGCGTAATTTGGACCAGCACCAACATTAGAAGGTACTGGGGAGAGACCGGAGCGGTTTTTTAGTGTCAAGACAACAACAACAACTGCTGCTTCTGGGAGTACGAAAGAACGAGAACAAGAGGCGTTCGACAAGGCGCTGACTCGACAAACCACCCCACCACAACACACCGACAGAAAAAAATATCGATGTCTTTGACGCATCCATACAAAAACTGTATCCGCACGATAACACAAGATCAGAAGCAAATGACAAACGTCGTCGCACATACACGTTCAACTTTAGCTAGCTTTGCCCTCACCGAGCATGATGTTCTCCGGTTTCTGCATCGACGCCAAAGAATAATACCGTAGCCCGAAAGACAGCATCCAGCCACCCATAAGCCAATGAAAGATCAGCAGGAGACAGGTGAGTAAGGGAGGAGGTAGAGTGGCGTCATGTTGCATGCATAGAGGGAGGGACGTCGTCATTACATCTTCACAATTCATCGGCGATATTCAAAGCTAGCAAGGTCTCCTCCTCTCTTCCCTCCTACTTCCTGTGGACCACACGCTCGTCGTAAAAGCCTCAATATTGCGGTACAAGCAAAACTCGCACCAGGCCATGCATCAAGCTACGGATACCACGAGAAAACGCACACACGCACCAGGTCGAAGTGTACGATGCCATTCCTGTGCAAGAAACCCACCGCCGATGCCACCTCCGCCATGATGCGCGCCGCTTGTCCCTCAGAGTAACGACCCTGTGGAGACAAGAGAGCCGCAGTAATTTTTAGATGATGGGAAGAAACCGGTGATCGAGTAGAGGGTAATGTGCAGGGGGAGGGGGGGGGAGGGGGCATCACATCACGCGGCCGTCTGGCGTCAACTGTGAAGGGAATACAACCACGAATCGGCAGCACCAGGCCAGGGGATATCATGTTCCCTCCCCCGCTTCGATCTAAGTCACACAAAACGCGGGCGAAACTCGACTGCATGCGAACTGCTGTATTCAGCCGGCTTGAAGAGTGACGAGTGTACGTGTCACGAGAAGGAAGTCATGCATCCGCATTAGCCGCTGCCTACACGGGCGTACTAGCACGCCACCCGGGCTACAATCCACAGGCACCACACACACACAAACACACACGAGAATTCCGCCGCTTCCGCAACACAGTAGTCCGGGCCCCTTTACAGGGCGGGTGAGTGTAAAGCCGATTCTTGCCCCCCCCCCCCCCCCCCCCCCCCCCCCCCCCCCCCCCCCCCCC